AGCCTGACTTACATGATTTTCAAATCAAAAATCGAACAAGTACGTTAATCTGACTCTCATCTTGATCAAAACTGTTTTTAGTAGAAAGCAAAAACAAAAAATGGTCAAAATGATGAACTAGGGGCACAGTTGAGTTAGGTGTTCTGTTTTTCCCCGTCATCAACGTACTCGCCAGGAGGGCACTCTACCCACCAGAAGAAATAGCTGTGAGCTAACGGCATTGGGCATGAACCCACACCTTTCTATTCATCCATTAATCACCCTGGGGAAGGAAGAAAAAATGAGAGAATAAAGAATAGAGAGGTGTAAGTTGAGAGAAAAGTAAGAAAAAGGGTTTTGAGAGAAAAACCGAGCCTGAGGGCCGAGTGATGTGAGAATCACAGATCAGAAAGGGTGGGAAACAATACCTAGAGAAACTGGCTCCTCGTGATCTGAGGTCCCCGGTATTCGTTCAATGCGCCTGTGTGTCGTGCCTTTTGTTTTGTTTACCACAACCTTTATTCTAGGTTTCTCCCGAACGTGTCTCGTTGTGTTTTAGGCCGTGTACCCTTTTGTTTGAATCCTCCCCACTGTGTTCAGTTGTAGGCTCGATGCCCCGGTTTGAAAAAAAAAAACCTTATTTAATTACAAAAATCATTTATGCTCAAAATGGTGTGCCATTCTCTATATTCGATTGTGTTTCAACTCCAGCTGGTTTCACCTCCGTAGTCCGTCTTGTCAGATTGGGCTGTTTGTTCGGGATTTGCTATGTGCAAAATGAACCAAATGCTGTGTTACGGGCTGTATGCAGATTAATCCCCAGTAGAGTAAGGGTTGTGTGTCCAGAATCAGGCAGTGGGTTGCTTGGGTTATTTTGCTATTGGCTGTTTAGTTATCTGATTATTACAGTGCAAGTGTTCAATTTTCAGACAACAGATCAATTTCATTTACATTGAGGTGTAATATGGTGTGATGCGATGCAAAGTAGGAAATGTAAAGATATACGGATGTAACACTTTTTAAGATAAAAAGTTTGTTCATTTCATAATCTTTTAAGTACACAAAAAAATCTGCCTGAAAATCTGCCTGCGGCAGTATAGAGTATCCTAACTACCAACAAAAAGAGAAAAGTACAAGAAGAGAAAAAAAAATAATAAAAATCTGTATCCATGTCAAGCGGCTCCGAGGGCTATCGGTCTGTCCTAGTCCTCTTCCTGGATGAAGGTCCAGGAGCATCATCAGCATCGTCATCAGAGCCCGAGCTAGAACCGCCTCCGGTCTCCTCTTCTGATGACTCCGCCTCCGACTCGTCATCCTCATCGTCGTCATCATCAGGGACGGGAGCCCGCGAACTACTCCCACTCTGCCTCCGCCTCCGACTCCTCGTCATCATCATCAGGGACTGGAGCTCGCGAACTACTCCCGACATGAGCGCGCCCCGCCTTGGTGCGGGGGAAGACTCTGCTCTCCTCATCTCTCCCTCGGGCGGGAACGGAAGGTCCAGCCGGAGCACCTCCTACAACGGGAATCTGGAAGGGAGGCTGAAAAAGCGCATAAAAGGCAAATGCATCAGTATACTGTGGACAGAGTACAGTGCAGAATGCAGTGTATGAGTACAGTGTGAGAATGCCGTGAGCAGTTTATTAGTGCAGAATGTAGTGTATGAGTACAGTGTGAGAATACCGTGAGCAGTTTATCAGTGCAGAATGCAGTACACAGTGTGAGAATGCCGTGAGCAGTTTATCAGTGCAGAATGCAGTATACAATGTATGAATGTCGTGAGCAATTTATCAGTACAGAGTACAGTGCAGAATGCAGTGTATGCAGTGTATCAGATGCTGTGAGATCAGTGTATCAGGTGTTGTGCCGTGCATCGGATTACGTGAATCAGCTTGTGAATGATTTGAGGCCGTGATTAGAAGAACATACCGGAATGCTGTAGAGGGCCAGGAGATCAAAGGTCCGCTGTAGCATCCCCATCATGGAGGCATTCATCTCCAATGACTACCGGGTATACTCAGAAGAAGCCTGTAAAAGTATCAGATACATCAATATTCTGTGGAATATCAAATAAACTGAAATGAAATGATTGTACGAAAATGCAGTAATACATACTGGAGGCAAGTCGGGGACATCGACAAACTCGTGATCAGCCGGCGGAGGGGCGAAGGGGATCTGATAGGTTGCCCCACCCTGTCCTCGGAAAGTCAATGAAGCGGGCAGAACAGGCCAACCGGTCCCCCGTCCTCCCTGAACTCCGCCCCTGCCACGGACTCGAGCCCTCCTTGAAGGTCCCGCTCCTGCCCCAGCTGCTGGCGCCACGGGCCTAGCTCCCTCCGCTCGACGGCCACCGCTCAGAGATCGCATGATGTACGTTTGTACGTACTCTCGGTAGTCGCCGATGCCTCTGAAGCGGGTCGCCTCCCAGCCGACAGTATAATCGGCCATCTGCTCGATGGTGAGCCTCTCGGTCTCCCTCATGTCCTCAGGAGGGTAAACCAGGACTATCTGCTCTGGTAACCCTAGGGTCTGGCGTAGGAAACGCTCACCCAGGTACCAAGCCCGACAGACCGGGCCCTCTAGTAAGATCCGGAAATGTGAGGTCTCCTCAGCACCGGCGAATCGGTCCCGCATCGTCGCCGGCAATGGAGCCCAAGGCTGCCAAGTGATCTGAAAGTGACATACAGTCTGTCATCTACTATTTTTGAAATATGCAGTGGAAAGGTGAAGCTTAAATGAACTGCAAGTAAAACATACCTCGGCAGGAGTGATGGTGTCGAAGTAGCGGCGGAAAAAGCCAAATGTCTCTCGTGGCCTCCGGGTGCATCTCCCGTCAAAGCGACGCGAGAACGGGACGACCAGAGGAGTCTCCGTCGCCGGTACAGGAGCGAGCCTAGGAAAGTAGGCATAAACCCACAACTGCAAGGTAAATACCAGTGCATTTATCAGATAAAGCAGAATATAGAGTAAAAGCAGAAATAGCAGAGCCATGTGTTGTGCAGTGTATTGTGCAGAGTGTGCAGTGTGAGCAGTGTACAGTCAGCGTAAAGCAGAGTATGTGTGTGCCGTGTGTACAGTATACAGCAAGTATAAAGCAGACTACAGTGTGTGCAGTGTACAGAGTACAGAAAATATAGGACAGAAATGAAAGGCATAAAAAGAAATGTACCTCCCAAACATGCCAATAGCCCCCGAGCAACTGTCCGCTGCCGCAGGAAGCTGAGCTCATATATCCGTAGAGAGTGGCCAGAGCGGCGCCACCCCAGTCGTAATGCAAGATGTCCCTGACGTCCACCAGTGAGCTGAGCAGGCAGAGAGGCACGGTGTTCGCCCGGTCGGCGAAGATGGTCGTCCCAAACAAGAACATGAGGAAGCCGCGTGCGTACCTCTCCACGGCCTCCGGAGTCATCGGGACTGCATCAACAAGGGTGGGCTGGACCCTGAACTGCACCTCGAACCAGGAATATCGGACAAAGCCTGGACGAGCGAGAGGTGGCGCCTCACCAAGCAGATAGATCTGAGCGGCAGTCCACTCGTCCATATCAGTATCAAAGGGTATCGGATCACCCCCTACCCCGATGCCTGTGAGCATCGAGAAATCATAGGGAGTCATCGTCATGTCTCCCGTCGTAGACAAATGGAACGAGTCGGTGGTGTCCCACCACCTCTCCACTAGAGCGGCGAGCAAGGGCCTGCAAGTCGTGAGCCTGGATAGTCCCCTGCAGAAAGCACCGAAGCCCGCCTGGTCCACGATGCGACGGACCGCATCGGGAAGCTCGGCATACCAGTCCCGAGCGCCGGTGTTCCCATACCCACGAA